CCCCCCTAAATAAAGATTGATAGGGCATTTTAAAAAATTAATAAACGAGTGAAAAGAGGGTAAATAAATGAAGAAAAATACATTTACAAGTACGGTAAGTCCGAAAGAGCATTTCAGAGAAAAAACTTCTGAGTGGTCAGACCGTATATAATGATAGCAGACTAATAATAATCTCGCAGACAAACTGAATCAAAGAAGTAACCAAATCCCAAACATTCAATGGCTACAAAAGAGCATCTCCCAGCTCTCAGCTTCAGTCACACACGAAAAAAAAGGGGAAACAAAATGCTACTCTCCGGTTCTCAATTCATTGAAAGAGTCACAAATCTTGCAACAAAAAGGGCCGTCACGGTTGTGAACATAACAGTGACCCCAAACTCCAAGTCCAAACAGGCAGTTTGCGCACAGCGATTCGGTTGTCTCAGACTCGCCCTTTAGGGGCTCGACAAACACTCTGACCAGGCGAGCGAGCGAAAAAGAAGCGAAAGTAAATAGACCTGCACGCTACGACGACTCTGTGAAAACTCTCGGTCCGTTAACGACTTAACTGGCTCTAAAAGCCATTGTGGCCGGTGCCCCAGGATTACAGGTCACAAAGGAAGGCTGTTGGTTGTGTTAGTCGCATGAGTGCCGAAAAATGACCCGTTAACGCATTTAGCAAATCCTCGGACAATCGCTGGCTTTCGTTGGTTTTGTATTGCTAGTCTTGGCAAATATAATCCTCCTTTGTGACAGTCTGAGGGTGACCTGCTCGAGATGGGTCTAAAACTGAAGACTTGTCTCATAAGGCGGGGATTTCGGGGTAGAGAAGACCATGTGAACATGTCTATTTACAGTGTGTGGATCTAAGCAGCGCGTGGAAAAAAAAGAAAAACACTGGTGAACATTCAAAAAGTTAATAGATACTTTGAAGCGTTATGTCCCAACGACCAAGCCTTCTCTTTGAACTCATCTAACTGCCCTAACATAATGGAAAAAACAATGTACTATTTAAAGTTAGTACGTTCACATAGCAGGCTTCATCAAACGCCCATTGATGATGCAACCAATAGGCAGTCTGAAGTAGAAGTTAAAAGCGTATATTATCATGATTACTAGGCTACATAGCCGGCTTGACATTTGCCGTGCCTTCGGTCTTGTGAAAGTTGAATTGGGTTATGTTTTAGTAAGAGTTTTACGGCGCTCGCATCTGCTTAAGATTATTAATATAGATTTTAACAATTAATTTTGCAGCATTCATCGAGGACGTACGTATTTTTGTTTGATTGCCTGCGTGCGTTCGTGCGTGCATGCGTACGTGCGTGCGTGCGTGCGTGCGTGCGT